AAATTACAAAATGATCTAAACAGAAAGTCAGGAAATATTGTGGTGGGACTCGACAGCCTGTTGACTGTGCTTTAGCTTCTATGTAGTCTGTGACATAGAAAGTTCACTGTGGGTTGTACAAACTTCTTCAGTGTATGGTATTGCCCTTATCTGATTCTCCACTGGGCTATTTCTGCTACTTGGTTTCAATGTTGCTATTAATGAATAAAACAGGCACTTTAGCTAAATTACTGTAATTGGTCCAATTAGTGTGCATTTAACATCTAAGAAATTCAGCCCAAAGAGCTTCAATGAAAAAAAACTACAAAAAATCTCAGCTGCTCAGCTGAATGACATTTAGTTTCAAGCTCCTAATCTTCATTACTCTGTATGTCAAACAGATTATAATTTATCTTTCTTTCATCACTTATTATATAAAACGTGGAGCTGAATTAATCTGCAGTTTTACGTAGCTACAGTATCTGGCGTGAAGCTAAAAACAGGATATCAACATCCCAACCTGGGACCAGATTCCTTACAAACAGCACGTCTGTATCACCAGGCCTGTTTCCACTTCGTCTCTTGATGGTTGACCTGGGACTGCAGTGTAGATGTCTATAACAGAAGCACCACGTTTATCATTCCCGCAATGCAAAAAACAGAGAAAGGCCTTTTTTTTATGTGCAACCAAAGGAGAGGAGGGGAAAAAAGTATGTTTTCTGATAGCAGATCTGAGCAACACATAAACACAAAAAAAGCCAATAATTCAGAACTGCTAAAGAATAAAAAAGCATTTCAGAGGTGTTTTAAGGAAGCAGAATACACAGTAATACATGGAAGACTTCATGACTTTTTTCCCCTTACCTGGCCTGTCACTCAGTCAGTGTCGCTGGAGGTGTCTCCCTTTCTGTCTTTGCCTCCAGCGCTCACACCCTGAATCAGCACTGGGAAAGCATCATTATCACTTGATAATAATCCAAACTGTCACCCCTGCAGGCATCAGAACTCACGAAGGGATTATAATATAATCCAGGGAGACAATCCAGTGCAGAGTGTTGTTAAAAAGTGAGGTGAGCTTCAGCAACCTTGTGGATGAGTGGACAAGGTGGGAGGGAACTGCAAAGGGGGAAAGTGTAGGGTTTCACTTGGGGACGAGGCAGCTTCTACTGTTCTTGACTGGGCTGTGCTCTCACATAAAAAAGGCAAAGAGGCACAGCCAATTATAGAGCCAACTTTATGGATATTTTTGTCCTTTTTTTCCTCTCTGCCTCTCTCTCTCTCTCTGTCCTCCGTAGCTGCACCCATCTGAGGTGTTGCCCTTAAAGTAGAGGCATGGCTTCTTGGCAACCACCTCAACTGTCCAGCCGTTGCCACTGTTATAGCCACAACGGAGCCGCCCTGGGGCTGGCGGTGGGCTGGGCCTTATTGGCTTCTACCAGCAACACACTTTTAGAAAAAGGCTGTATTTAAGTTGGGGAAATGATTACAGAACACTTGTGCTTTCAGCTTTGTGTTGAATGGCTGTCCTTGCACTGGCTTATAGTAAAGCTCTGTGATCTATATGTTATGCTGTTTTTCTTGGTTTACACTCATGTCAGACCGCACACATTTCATTTAATATACATTTTTATCATATGAAATATATACTTGTATCCAAATTGATATGTCTCCTTGACTTTATGGTTTCTCATGTTTTTTTCTCCCAATTTAATGTTTTTAATGTTTGTTTTTTTCTTTCCTTGGGATGTTTTAGTGCTTCCTTTTTGTGACATCCCAAGTTTCCTCAGATAGGATGAAAGATTTATTCATGTTTTTTTGTTTTTTTTGTTTTTTTGTTTTTTTTAAATGATTTATTCATATTTGAATCAGCAGAAGAAAATGGATGGATAATTGGATGGATGGGCTGTGTATAAAAGTACAGTGCAGGTGTGGGCAATTCATTTCCCCAAGGGGCCACATCAGAAATCAGGACCGCTAAGCTGAAATCAATTCTACTCAACATTAATTTTATCTCTTTATAAACTGTTACTGGTAAGAGTAGATGTTGCAATTAAGGAATGAGAAGACAAAATATTTGTGGTAAAAAATGCCAACATTCTATCATACTACAGCAACATTCGCAAAAGCAGTTCTGAATAAAATGTGTATGCTTTCACAAACTTTCAAAGACTTTCAACTTTATTCAACTTGGTATTGCAATTTCACTTGAAGTTACTTCATCTTTAGTTCTTGTTCCTTCTTTAGTGAGAAAAGGTTAATCTGTGCTTGAACAAATGGATTAACGTCAATGATTGAGGTGAAAATTCAAAAGACAATACAGCAACAGCAAGGTCTGCCTTCCATTCTGTATCTGAAAGCTCTTTGCCTTTCTTCTCACAAAACATTTAAGTCACTTCACTGAAGTCAGAGGTAAAGCCATGTGCTTAATTAATAATAATAATAATGAAATGTTTTAATAGCACATTGCAAAGTTTTAGAAAGGTTATGGACCTGACAACAGAAATCTGTGAGTTGTGTGTGAAGAAAGGCAAAGAGCTTTCAGATACAGAATGGAAGGCAGATCCAGCATTTGCTATACTGTCTTTTAAAATTTCACCTCAGTCAAAGTTGTACATTACAATACATTAACAAATGTATTAAACCACTTGACATAAAAACAAGAAAACACAAAGATTTTCAGAAATCTGTCGAGACTTCTTTAAAACTGAACATTATACTGTTATTTATCAGGCCAATCACATAAGTTGAAGTTTGTACACCCAAATTTGAGCCAGCACTAGTACACTTCTCTGAGAAGCCTCAAATTAATTGAGCACAGCATACAACCACTAAAAGTAACTTTGTAACATATGGAACTAGTATATAATTTTAAAAAATATGTTTCTTTCTGTTCAAATGATACATTTGAAAATGTAGATATCAGCAATATTTCTATTTTAGCTTTATTAAATTCCTTTTGATTAAAGAGTTTTTACATGTAGTGTTGGATTAACCTTTACAGAAACATAAAAAATGTTTTTGGTAGTTACCAGTTTTGTTCATTTAGGTCAGTCTAATGAATGTGTTAAGCGCTCAATAACTATTTAACTCGTCATTTCTTATCAGTCTTATACGAGCCACTTGGCGACAATCAAACAGCCGGAAGTGGCCCGGGCAGCACAGCATCCAGAACTCGTCTCCAACCACCCAAAGCTCCCAAAAGTCACCAGATTATGTACAAATGAGAAGGTTGATGGTTCGATCTCTGGCTGCTCTAGTTTGCATGATAATGTATCATCGGACAAGATACTGAATTGCTCCTGATGCATTCATTAGGAAAAGTGCATCTGTGAAAGAGGCATGTTGAATAAAGTGATTTCACTGCTCAAATAGAGTACTATATAAGAACCAGTCCACTTACCTCTCTCTGTTGGCATACCTGTCAATCAAAATGTCCACCACCACTACCATGACTTTAAGTCTCACCAGTATCAGAATGGAAGAACTACAACAACAAAATCACTCAGTACACTTGTTATGAAGCAGAAAACTCCTTAAGTTGGACATGCTGACATGGCCATTTGAAGGGATTGACTCACTTTTGGAGCCTGCCTCGAGAGGACTATGAAAGAACTACAGTTTTGTTTTTTTGTTGTTTTTTTTGTTGTTTTTGTTTTTTTCATTTATCATTGGTTTCATTTTTTCAGCCCTAGAGGCTGCCACTTGGACCAAACACATTTTTTTTTACCAACCATCCAATCCCATTTGATAGATAACTGTGCCTGTGCTCTGATTTGACAGACCGGTGATTCAGTGTGGGCTCCAGGCACTTGTAGAGTTATTGCTGCTGGGCCATGAGCCTTTAAATACATAAAAAGTTTCCTTCTCGGTTTTTTTTTTTATTAAATATGAAATCACATCAACTATTCTGAAGTTTTAGAAAGGCTTTGATTTACAGTAGTAGAAGACTGCTGTGATTCACATTTCTCTGTACAGTGATGTCTTTATCATGCGTGGTCATGCTCCTCGACAGTGACCAAACAACACTGTGGTCATGCCACACGTCATGTTTCGTGCAGTTGTCTCCACATTTTACGCCACCTTAGAATACAGCCAAATCTTGTGCGGCGCAGTCAAGGCACCTTAATGCTCCAAAGTCAGTATTTGAATGTCATGGACAACAACATTAGCCATTCCACTGAGCCCTATTTACAGTGTCTTTGTAGCTGAGGCAAGTGAGCACAGGCCGGGCTATGTATAGGCTCAGTGTGAAGTGGATGAAGTAGGCTGACGATTCAGGGCAGATGCACACGATGAGTGATGGTGTCAGTCTGAGAAACCGTCTGTCGCCTTGTGTGAGAGGGCTAAAGAGTTGACCAGCATGTTTGGTGAGTGAGAGGCTGAAGGCATCATGTAGTGTTGGAGAAAGCCATCTGTCATGCAACCGACAGCCAGGCTTACTGATACAGGCTTACTCTCACAATGTGCTTCCAGGTTTTGTCTGAGAGTTAGTGGTCGAGCAGACAATCTTTAAGAATGAATTTCTCACATATTTTACCATTTTATCTTAGTGAAAGTATCATGTTCATTTGGCCTATTCAATTCAATTTTATTTATATAGCGCCAAATCACAACAAAAGTCGCCTCAAGGCGCTTCATAGATACAGAGAAAAACCCAACAATCATATGACCCCCTATGAGCAGCACTTTGGCGACGGTGGGAAGGAAAAACTCCCTTTTAACAGGAAGAAACCTCCGGCAGAACCAGGCTCAGGGAGGGGCGGGGCCATCTGCTGCGACCGGTTGGGGTGAGAGAAGGAAGACAGGATAAAAGACATGCTGTGGAAGAGAGACAGAGATTAATAACAGATATGATTCAATGCAGAGAGGTCTGTTAATACATAGTGAGTGAGAAAGGTGACTGGAAAGGAAAAACTCAATGCATTATGACAGGTTGTGTAAAGCGCTTTGGGGTCCTTACGGACTAGAAAAGCGCTATACAAATACAGGCCATTTACCATTTTGATAAAGTCTACTCTCCACTGCTGTGTAATCAAATTATTGTAAATGTGTGTAATTATTTGGAAAAAGAAAAGTTTTGAGTCTTTTCTGTGAGAAACCAGCTGACCTGAACAACATAGCTTGGTTTATGCCACATTACATTACTTATTTATTTAGGTAAAAGATTCAAAATAACTGGCAGGATTTATTATTATGACTTTAATCTCAGAATTCAGATTTTTTTCTCAGAATTCTGGAAAAGAAAAAAAAAGACGTGCCCACTTTTTCTTCTGGTGGCCCTAATCATCTTCCGTACATTTGAGAGGAGACCTGTTGTGCTGAAATTATGTCGACCAGATCAGGTGGACATCAGTAACCACTGTTACATGTCAGGCCAATTCCAATGATTCACAGATTTGTAACATCTTCCCGTCTGTGAGAGCTCACAGCTGTCCTACTGTCATCATGAAAGTATTGGAGTTCTCCGGCACTTTATGCATGTTTTCTGTTGAATTACCCACATTCCAGTTTAGATTCACTTATAGAATATCCCAGGCTCTCTTCGACTTCAGCTCCTCATCTTTTGAAGCTAGGAGGTTCACATGAGCTCTCTGTATATTTCTCATGACTCCCTTGAAAAGCTCATCTTTTTGCCCAAGCTTTTCCTGGTGCAGACTCGTCTCTGTCCATTCTCAAAGATGGCAATCTCCTCCATGATGTCGAGACTTGTTCAGAGACATTTTTTGATGACAGAACAGAGAGCATCTCAGTCCTTGAATAACTGAGTTTTTAGTCAGATGATTGGTGGAAAAGAACTCAAAAGTATGAAGGAACAAATCATGTGTTTTGTCCTTATGTTTATTCCAGTTTTCTGGTCCCTGCCTGCTTTTTCCCACAGACAAGACTATATACAGACCAAAGACAGTATAAAAGATGGATCATGTTTTACAATCCAAACAAATGTTGAATCAGATTGTGAACCTGAACGCTCTCCAGCTAACAACTTGTGATTAGCATACTGGGGATAATTCAATTCAGTTCAATTAAATTTTATTTATTTAGCACCAAATCACAACAACAGTTGCCTCAGTGTGCTTTACATTGTAAGATAAAGATCCTACAATATTACAAAGAAAACAGAGAAAACCAGAATAATCTCCATGATGCCCCATCAGCAAGCGCTTTGGAGACAAATCTCCCTTTCAGAAATTAATTATTTAATCAGTATGACCTGAAACCCGCAACTAGGGCTATAAAATCACTAGCAGTGTTTACAGGGGTCACAGTTTCAGAGAGCTGAGAGTCGTTTTCAGTCCGTCTGTGAGCCACACTGGTTTCAAAACACCTCAATGGCATCTGCCACTGAACCTGAATGACAAAGACAGCTACTTTCTGTACCATAAAACTTCTTACTGTTCCAGGGTATCACTCTTGAGGGCCGCCCTTCAGTAGAGTCTGTGAAATTAGTTCTTGTCATTGTTGACTTGTGTAGTGTTGTACTTAGACTGCCCTCAGAGGTCAAACACACTGCAGCTTAAGAAAAACTGGCAAATAGAAAAATGGTGCAAAGACAAACAGAACACAATGGATGTTCAATAAAACAAGAGAAATAGCAATAAAACGTAATAGCTGCGGAAGTGAAAGAAACCAAAACATGCTGAAGATCGCACTGAAACAAGGACTTTTACTAGAAAGTCTGGTGTGATGTGTAGAAGGTTCTTTACTAGAGAGGTTAACTTCTTAATATACAAACATGTTGTTGTTTGTGCTTTGTTTTTTCTTAGTAGTGGGGTCCACAAGAGACAGCACTGCATATGCAGATTTTTAATGAGTGGAAAAACACTGCAAACAGTTATATCATTGATTTTGTTGCAGGTTTGGCTTGAAAAGTTTTACTTTTCTTGTTTAGTGGCTTTTATTGTTTATTCCTGGCCAGAGGTCACAGTTGGCATAGACTATAACCCTGAAAAAGCTTTTGAAGCTTTTCCTTTGGTGTTTATAAGACGCTGACTCCAAGCAGCAGATTTTCACTGCAGTAAATCTTTCAGTAACTGCTGTTTCTGACCACTTGGGGGCAGTGGAAAGAAGTTTTGGATCCACAGTCTCCTTTTTATTTCTAGAGCAAACATAGCACTTAGTTACCAAAGATAATTTAATGAATAAAGCAGACAGTATATAATGGCAGTAATGACAGTGAGATCACGGGTTCATACTTTGGGGTGAGTTACATCTCTAATGTTACCTGCCTGGCTCGTTTCCAAAAGCCACATTAAAGCACTTCCAGGATGGAGGAGTGTGATCGAACAACAACAAAAAACTCAGCTGGCATTCAGAAACTCCTGTAGCTGCCTATAGGTCGAATTAATTCTGCTTAGAAAAGCAGAATTGCTTTAACAAATCAGAAAGAATGATAATTTAACAAAACAAATGCGCTCCCGACCTATCTACACATCTGATCATAAACCAGGTTTTTTTCATTGCATTTTCTGTTTTTGGGCCACAAAAAAATCTTGATCCGGGTCTTTGTGCCAACAGCATGTACAATACACCCCCGAGATTTCATAAGGAGCTATTTTCACCCTGGAGACATTTGAGTTAATAAAAAATAAATAAATAAGCACTGCCGAAGAGTAATCATTATGTTGTACATTCCTGCTTAAAATACTAGAAATCAGGTTTCCAGTTGGAGTACATTCCGGTCTATACCAGTCCTCTGCATGTGTGTGCTTTATGATGACATCATCCTATTTTATTAGAGACATTCCAGAGGGACTGCATTGTTATGCTTTGTGATCAAGGCTTTTTTCCTCATTAATCTACAGTTAGCAGCACTTGGCTTCAGACTATCAAGTTCCTGTTCTCTGCTTCCACCTTCAGCTGACTGTCGGTTCAGAGTGCAGCTTGCTTACTACCATCCTCCTCGTGGCTCTTCCTGGCACTTCCATTCTCCCAGGAGGCTGCAGGTGCAGGCGGCTGTTTGATGCCTTTCCCAACATGTGGCTGTCCTCGAAGAAGCCTCTCTCCCCGCTGCCCTTTGCCTTGGACACCTTGGACCAGCTTGCGCTCATCTGCTGATAATCCTAGTGTTGACGTGTTTGAATTGCACTGATCCTCTTCTAGGCATTGTGCTCTAGGCAGCCTTAGCCGCCTCCAACCTGTCTCCTCCTGGAAGTTGCCAGGGATGTGGCACGCCGCCTCTCTGCCACATGCAGCCTGAGCTTTAATTTGAGGGAAAAATGAGGGAGGGTTAGGTTTGCTGCACAGAGGAGCTGGGGTACCTCGACACACCACATCCTCCAGATGCTTGTGTCCATTCTGCTCTATGGGGTTGGCACGCGTCAGCTGTGGCCTTGCTGATTGATTTTGCTGCTGGGCTTTGACTGGTGCAATGGAAGCAGAAGGAAATGCCTCTGCTTTTACCAGTCTTTGCCTCATGCATGATTTTGCCTTCCTCGTATGGGTCCCATCCAGCTTACAAGAGGCTGGGTTGGGTTCTTGGTGGATAAACTTAAGCTTTTCCTTCTGAGCCTCCTTCACCTTCTCTGGCAGCTCCAGCGGGGCAAGTTTCAGGGGTCGTCTGAGGGCTTGAATCTCAGTCTGGTTTTCTACGTCAGGCTTCGGAGACTTGAGAGCTAACAAGTCCAGCTGTGGCAAGCCTTCCTCGGTAGGCAAGGAGGTCACAAGGTGACCCGCTGCCTCCCTTTCATGGCCCGGTGTCTTGGAGTTGCGGCCCTTTTTAGCAGCTGGTCTCAAGTTTTGACCATTCCGATGCAACGTGGTATTTTTAGCTTGAATAGTCAACATTTCTTCTTGCTGCAAAACACCATGAACAAAAGACACGTTATTGACTCAGATGAATCATACAATAAAAAATAATGTGACTTCTACCAGTTAGAATTTTGAAAAACAACTTTTTAAGAAGACGTTTGATGGCAGTTGCGTTACTCTAAGGATGATAAATCGTTTCCACAGTGACCTGTTAGAGTTAGGCTAACCCATACCCTTCTTTTAACTGAATTTTCAGCTGTTTTCTAAGAAGAAAATCACAAAATATGCTTGTTTGGTATGTGGCTGAAACACGTTCTAGCTCCAACCGGGTCTCTGATGTCTCGGTGGATGTTAGGATGCTCATTAATGTTAATATGGGCAGTAACTGGGAGAGCCAGGTATCTCTGTAGCTCTTAAAAGCTCATTAGGATGGCTGTTTCGAGGAACTGTTAGGCTCAAGCCATTCTGGAAAATAACTGAACACCTGGATTCGGATCTATTTATTAACGACTGATTAATATTTACAACTGCCAACTTGAACATCTATAATAAACTGAGGAACTATTTGCTTACTTACAGCATTGGCTGTTTTAAATTTAGAAAGTCATCAATACAGATCCCTACTTTGCAGTGAGCGTTGGCTGTGGTCATAAATACACTTAATGGTGCTGTCACTGTGATCAGCATGGAAATGTAATGAAATGTTAACACATTTGTTTTTCAAATGCTGCACAGTGTCCTTTAGAACAGTGGCCACAAGCCTGAAGGCTGGGAGAACAACAAAAGGCCGTGAGATGAATATTCAGATGGAAAATCAGGAAGTTTGTGATACACGGAATGATTCCGTCTTTAGATCTATCCAGTTTTTTATATCCAGTTTTACTGTGTACAGCGAATCGTATTAAAATATTTTTTTAGCACATGAAGGGAAAATTGCTCTTTATATGACAGAAGAACTGTTGATGACTTTACTTTGATCATATCTGCACATATAACTAAATTAAATAAATGCAACAGACGAATCTGTCTCTCAACACATCCAGTAAGATAAATATTTTCTGTTTTCACTCTTAACTTCAAAAGTTCCTCATTCTAAGGCTGTTTAAAAGTTTATTACACTCACATCACACACTTATGCTGCTGGGTTATTACTGCACACCAGAAATAAATAAGCTAGTACAGTTCACACGTCTTAGCTTGGGATTTTTTTATTTTATTTATTAATGAATTAAAGAAACATAGAATGAGAAGCAACAGATTATACTGGAAATAGTGCCTGCTCGACCAACTACACTCAAAAGAAACAAAAAGGCTTACTTTAACTAATTCAATGACATATAATTTTTCCATGTAAAATGTTCAATTTAATGAAATCTGATCAAATGAAACTTAGTTGATTGGTCTACTTTCAGTTTTTGCCAATCACATAATTTGAATAAATAAACTTTTGGTCTTTTGGAAGTTTTTTTTCGTTGTTTCATCTGGACAGTTACTGTAAAGCCATTGCTTATTATTTATGCATTATTAGAAGGTGATCTAAGACATAACTGTAAAACATGACTACATCTGCACATGCACGTTGACTTTCTCATAGATAACAAGTCACTGATGAGAATCAGTGTAAGGATACTCACAGGTTTAGCAAACATCTCTTGCTTGAACTTTTGTTGAATCATATCTCGCAGAGAGGAGCGTTCTTGTTGTCCCTGCTTCGTTGGAACGTGCCACCCGGGTGAAGGCAGTGCCACTATAGTTGCAATGGATTTTAGCAGCCTTAATGTCATTATACAGATTAGGGTCACAATAAGGCACAGTGATCTCTGCTGATCTCCAGCTTAGCAGCCAGTGTCCACACTCACTCTGAGTTCTTCTTGTTTGTTTTCATTCCCCCCAGCAGGATTTTACGCTAATAAAAAATGAGTAGCACCTTTCTGCTCAAATTATGACTGAAAAGTAGCAGTTATTTTCATTTTTCACTGACCACCAGATGGTGCCAGAGACAACCTTTGAAGAGTACTGTGACCTCACTGTTGCATACATAACAGGGCCAGCTGTGAGCTGCAAGAGACCTGCAGAAATTTGATTCTAACTTATCAAATATTAATATAATCATAAAACAAACCATGTTTTCCTCCTAAATAACAGTAAGTTTCCATTTGCACACATTATAAAAGAGCTGCTTTGCATTTTAAGATTCCAACCTTAACACATTACTATCTGGAAAATCTCTGAATACTCACAATATTATGCCGCATACATACAGCTGGAGCAAACAGGGAGTTCTGTGACAATTCGTAACCGATTGAGCTAAACATCACACAGCCTCGCGTTACATGAAGATAAAGGTGACACTGACGCAGGCTAAATTCACAGAACCTCTCTGGAATGTAAAAACGTCTGTCCAAGTTTCCTAAAAACTGAGCACCTGAATGGTGATTCTGCTTGAATTATTAATTTCATTTTGTTTTCATCTCATATGCACTGTCACAAACTGTTTGGGGTCACTGAGAAATGATCTTGCTTTTAATGTTTTCATGTTTTTACATGAAAACATAATGAAATGCATTCAACGGTTAAATACAGATGCATTCAGTCTCCTTTAATCATTGATCATTTTTAATGGAATATTGGCACAAATGTACAGCAGCCATGGAGTTTTTGGTTGCTGAAAATCCGGTGGAACATTGTGTTACCTAATGCAAGTTTATCAGGATAAAAGGCTGATCGATCATTAGAAAAACCCTTTTACAATTATGTTAGCACAGCTGAGAACTGTTCTGCTGATTAAAGAAGTCGTCAGGCTAGCTGAATGTCCGGAGCGTGAGCAATTACAAAAAAAGAGTCATCTTCATTTGTTTAAAAGAAACAAAGGATATAACTCAGCGGACATGACCTAAAACATAAAAATTGTATGATATTACTTTATACTAGTCCCTTCTTAGAAGCTAAATGCCTTTAACCAATGCAGAAAGAGAAGTAGGAGACAGAACTAAGCATGAATCCCTTACAGGTTCTCAACTGGCAACATCATTAACATATGGCAACGTATCCATGAAGCCACAGTCTCATTGTCAACAGTGAAAAGGGACGTATTGCATTGACAACTAGAGTGCTAAAAGTCTGCAAGGAGATCCTCTGAAGAAGGCAAACTTTTAAATGCTTATTTCTAACCTCGTCAGTTTCTTAGGACATTTATCTGATGTTATCATAGCTCCAATTCACTTTGCAACTCACCCAATTAATAGATTTTCATAAAAAAAATTCTCCAGACTTTTGACCTTACCCCTATGTCGTTATAAGAAACTAATAATGCTGCGGCGCAAACAGCTTTATATTCATATAAAGCTATTTGGTGATATATATATCAGACTGAACGTATGACAGATCATCTGGTTTGAAGAGTCACACATTTACTTACCAATGTAAGATGGTTCCTTTTGGTGATACTATCACACAACACATTGTGGGATTAAAAATAAGGTGGGCAAAGAACAGATGTTTTTGTTAACTGAATTCAGCTGGCTGTGGTGTGGATATGTGGCCAAAGCTGAAATTCCTCTGATGTTCACTTCAGGCTGCCTCCACTTCACTCCAGAGAGTCACTGAAATGGACCGAGCAACCTTTATTTTTGTAGCCCTTCTTAATGAAATTATCAGGAAAAGCATCCTTTGTAAAATTCTCCTAAATCCAACATGTGGAGCGACCCACTGTGGCAATCCCTTGTAGACTGTCCAACAAGTTTTAGTTTCAGTTTTGCTGAGTGAAAGTCTGGTATTGTGTTAATCTGTAACTCATCTCTAATAAGCAGTTTGTGTCTGTGTAACAAACGCTCTACAGTTTATGGATAGAGCTAGCTAATCAAGCCTGCTAGCTGTCTCCCAATTTAACATACTAATCCAGCCCCTTGTCCCATTATTTGTCCCATTTACTCCAATAAAGCAACATGTGGGGAGGTCAAAATGCTAACGTTGAGGCTTCAAAATTCAGAATTAAAATGAATGGGTGTTGTCATGTGTTTAATTCTATCGCGTAAATGTATGTGGTTTAAAACCCAGTGTAATAATTTAAATAAAGCCCGCCCACAAAAAAAATATCAATTTAACTTCACTGATTACAAAAAACAAAAGGAAATGTAAAAGAAAATGAAATTTACTGCATGATTTGTAACCTTTGCATTACCTTAAGAAAGGGGCGCTGAAGGTGCTGTGTAGACATGTCTGCTATATTATCAATCTTCACTGGAATTACACTTTAATCCCATTTCTCTTCACATCACATGTAATTCTTCTCTTTTTCAGTCTAAATATCTTGAGACAATCAAGAAAAGACAATGATGTGCTGTGTGCTGCCTGCCCGAATATTTGCAGATCGTAATCACCCTCCTTTTGCAGCTTGGTTTAAATTTTAGCTCTATTGCTCCGACATCAGCCTCATTCACTGTATTTAGAAGCAGACTTTTCCTAAATGGATGAGACTTGTGTGAGATTAGTTGAACCATCAAATGTACAGACAGACTCAATCATCATTTTTTTTTTAAAAATCTCCTGTTCTCCATTGTCTTGTTCTCTTGCATCCCTCCCCTAAAAACGAAATGTCAGCACCTGCTTATTGCATCATATTATTGGTGTGGTGGAGTTGGTACCACTGCAGAACAACTTGGCTCTGCTTACATGATTATTTGAGATGCAAAATTACAGGCTTACCGCCAAGAGAAGGCCTCAACGCCCCTCTGCCACTGTTCTTATTGTGTCGCCCTCTGTGTTGCCTGACGTTCAGGGCTGACAGTATAATTACTACGGTGTGGGAAGAGGATAAAAAGGGATGTTTGTTCATTCTCCCACCTACTAAACATCCAGCTGCACCACATGAGCCACTCACAGAGAAGAAGGTGGCGACTACCAGAAATCCTTCATAACATAAAATTGAATGCTTACAAGCTGTACCTTATTACTGTGTCATGTACAGAGGACTAAACTTACTAAAAAGTTAAGTCCCAGGCGTCTCTGGCTCTTAAATAGTTTTCATCGTACTTATCTGACAGACAGTTCAGAATTTATATTTAAACAAATGTGACTTTTCCTTTGTGGAGTCCCTCAAGGCTCAGTCCTTGGACACCATTCTGTTACCTATATATATGTTGTCTTTGGGTGATATACTTTACAGTTTTAAAGGAATTTCCTACCATCTCAACAGCTTCTCCTACCTCAGCTCATGTTTTTATGCTATCACTAATTGGAAGTGTTTAAATTTCCTCGAACTCAACTCTGATAAAACTGAGGCTTTTGTTCTCTATAAAGAATCTTGGTGTTATTTTTGACTACTGTCTGAATTTTGAAACTGGAAATTTGAGTGCGCACTTCAATTTTCTCCCGTCTTGACAAGACACATATTTGTCTTTTGTATTTCTCAGTCCTCTCTTGGTTGTCAACTGGTCCAGGATGCAGCATCTAGGCTGCCAACAGAAACTAGCCAGTAATCACATAGAACCAAATGTTTCTGTTATATTATCCTGGTTTGTTTCGGCCCAACCACGTGCTTGTTAGAAACAGGGGTGTTTTAGATTTAGTTATGTTATTTTGTGCTTAGTTAGGATTGGTGTTTGTTTTTGTTTCCCCCTATTGTGCGTAAATGGTTTGGCCAAACCACTACAAAGGTGACCCTCCTGTGTCTTTGTGTTTAGGTTAGGTTGCCAGTTAAGTTGTGTCTACTTTGTTTGTTTAAGCTTCTGGAAGTTACTTTTTTATTAGAGTTATATTTAGTTGACCTCTTTTATGGGTCTACTAATTATATTTTGAACTTTGTCTTTCTGAACTTATTGTGGGGGTTAAAAAAAATTTTAAAAGCCCATTTCTGAAGACATGTTTCCTGTGTCTTCTATGCTTTTGCTGCTTGGTCCCTCACATGTGTCTAACCTAAAGCAAAACCATACCACCAAACATGAATGACTGAAGAATGGAAATCACCATCATCTTTTCATTGCAGTGTCCTTTTTTGCTTTCTTGTCATAGGAACTGGAAACAATGTCAAATAGCCAGTTAGGCTCTATGCAAAGCTGACCTCGGAACACCTCTAAATCTCAATAAAAAAGCACATAACCTTAAATATTCTTGCTAAGTATCTTTGTTTCAACTCATTTGTTTTCTAAAATGCACAAATTTGGAAGGCTAGTTTTTCCCCATGGTTTTAGTTTTTATAATAAATTAAGCTATTATTCTGCTTTAAGCAGTCCTGGAAGTGATATCAATAATCTCATCAGGAAGAAACTGAATGAGCATATTTCTCAATAGGTTAATATAATCCCTTTAACATGGACACTTACGGAAATAAAGTAAAACTTAAATATTTTAAGCACGGGCATGGTGATTTGGTTTGCATACAATTATCATTTATTTTCTCCTGCAGCTGAGATTTGCTCTGATCCTTGCCTGACCACCCAAGTACTTAAGACCTCTCTCTTCATAGTTTTAATTTTTAACTTTTTTAACCAAATACTTTGGGGGTTTTAGTTGCTTCCGGCTTAGAACCTTCTCTAAACTTTCTCTTAAAAGATAAATCAACAACATGTTATAAATTTTGAGAAAAACTGATCACAAATGAGTTTGATAAACTTGCCTGCAGCTGTTTAATGAATATGTAACAATGAAACTCCCCGGACTGGATTTTGTTCTCGAAATGAAAAACTCTTCTTGGATTTTGGTAAAATGACTTCAAAGTTGGAGATGTTAAGCACTTACAAGAAGACAGAGGCTTTCAGAAGGAGGCTCATCATTTTTATTCAAGTGTGTTATGGCTTCACCCAGGCTGTTCAAACCCAGTGAGTCACCCACACCAAATCATGCACACACACTCACCAAAAAAAAAAAGGAAAGAAAGAAAAAAGAAAACATACAAATGTAAAATGTTATGTAAAATGTTCATTGCACTCTGAACAAATCTCAACGATCTCTTCTCTAAATGTTGAAAAGAGAGCCACACCAGAGAGCACTGTACAGACATCAGTTTCAAAATTGCAACAGAGGACGTCAGTGGCCTCAAACCACATGATTACCAGCAAGATGGGCTATAATCTCCTGTAAGGAATATGGTACATGGTATTTTTTTGTTCATCAGACCTACAGAAGAACCTATTGCAAAGGATATTTCACAAATAGAAGTTATGGAACACACTTTCTATTATTACACAGATAGTAGTGCAATTTGTGTCTCTTTGTCCCTGTCGTAGATAAACATGGCACTGTTGACAGAGAAATGGCCTGCACATACTGCCACATGCAGTAAGGAACACCTGGAAGCCAAGCATGGCCACATACGGGATGCCGTAAAAAGAAGCAGCAGCCAATGACCAACGGGAATCAAATCACCTCCATATCGTATGACCCCACGTGGCAGAAGACAATATGCAGCCGTGTTTGTCTGGTGAGAGCAATGGCGTGTGCGGCTGTTTCTCCGTGCCGTCTGCATCTGTTACAGAGTAACATTCAGTCGAGGACCATCAGCGTGACATGTGACGTGGTGGTTGAAAAATCAGAGTAATATGAACGCGTGTGGGAGGGGGATGAAAAACGATCTGACTTGCAGCTCATGAAGATTAAAAGAGTTAATTTGTTTGCTTCTTCCATTCAAAAGTTTAAAAAAAATAAAATGATCCATTATGGCTGATACATTCCCCAGAAATGCTGCTTGGAAAGGTTTTACTGTGAAAGTGGAAGCAAAGCAGATGCCACTGATCACTTAGTGAGCGTAGATATTTGGTTAACCCTATCAGTGTTCTGGTAATGATAGATCTCGATAATGGTAACGATCATTCTGGTGTACTGCATTCTCAGAGTAACAGGTGAGAGGAGGAAGCACTGAAACGTCTCAACAACAAAGTCCAAAAAGAACAGTTGTTTTCTCTTCAGTGTACTCTTCAAGTACATTCAGATAACCTTGAGCTTTATTAAGGTTTCATATTATCAACAAATCCCCCAAAGAGATCAAAATCAATGATGCATACAGCTGTCTCACTATCTGACCTTATATATTTTTGTGACATTAAGCTGGAATTCCATCATCCGCTTCCTTGGTTGATTGGGATTATATGACTAAGTAAAATGGGGGAAAACAACAACAACCACAAAAAGAAAACGGGGGACTTGGAGTAAGAATCATGAATCATCATCACCCTAAGCTAAGTTTGTTTGTGCATTTTGGATGGCTGATTTTCTGGCCCTGCTCTTGTCTCAACGCTCTTTAGCTAGAAATCTATCTGCCAAGCATCAAACAGCAAGCAAAGTTCTTAACTAGCAGGTGATAACATCCAAGAAACCTTGGGAGCTGCATATTTATCTTGGGAAAGAGTAAATATTGTTCTTTTGTATAGATCAGTAGATCTATTGATCTATACATGACTCCAACTGTAATGTTAAACATGTTTACTGGAGAATCTTTCTCACAACATATCCTTTTTCATTGGTAATGTACAAAGATATTAAGTAGCTGTTAGCTTAAAACTGACGCTCCTGACTCTCAACGTTGACTACGGGGTTTGTGTGTTTTAGCTTGCCTCTTATAGCTCAGTGACGCCTCATTGAGGCCACCCTAATTGAGACTAGGAAAAATAGGTGGTTACTCTGTGATTGTGTTTGTCAATCAATTGAAAGTAGTTGCAGCAACCAGCTGGTTACCTAACCTGTGTTAGCCTGGGGGCCACTTTCAGTTACAAGGCGATTTTGTATTTTGCAGTAAAATGACAATTTATCATTTTATCAGTTTATTTCCATATTATCACAAACAGATGTTGGTATGTAGTTACCAGCTTGACCCCATTCAATTGCAGACTGATAGCAACAAGAACAAGAGCTCCATGTTATTGCTGATACATCAGGGTCGCTTTAAAGATGGCATCTCACTTCAAGTGGTCGCGGACTTGGTTGCACACAGTCACAATCAATTTGTCATGTCGCCATCTCTAACCACTGAGTGGCTGCAGCATTAGCTAATTGAAGTACCCACATGCTACCAAACATAGCTAAATATGGTTTTAAGTTGATAATTTCAGCTGATTCTTTCAAGTTCACAAAAAATAGCTGATGCAGCTTCGAAAATAGGCTGTATCAGCTTTGCGTCAGTATTGACCCCTTAGCCGTAAAAGGCTTTTGGGGTATTGTCATTACCCTGCTGTGTGGGCAAGCAGATGGCGTGAACACCTAAGTTTGTGAATGAGGTAAAAATTGATGCCATAGGTGTATTTACTAAAAAAAAATCTCAGCCGAATCTGAATCTCAGTGACCTCAACCCCAAAAGTCAGACGTCAAGTTTTCTGAAAATCTTGTGAATGCAACAACTTGATAGTAAGGTGACGTAGGATTCTAAAAACTGCTAGCATAGTTGTGTCTTATAGGAGGCTGAGGGGAAACATTGGCTATGGGTAGTGTTTTTAATTAATACTATAAGTTTTCTGTGGTTGTGGCCTGTTGTGGGTTATGTTGAACTTTCCATGTTATATCCTTTAAACCTGTCAAATAATCACACTCCTTGTGTTTCTTGCACCATCTGACTTCATTGTGGGAGGTTGTGGCAAAGCTCAGCAATTATCTCTGAAAGCACAGTGTTACTATTACTGAGGAGTAGCGACCCAACATTATGAGAAGGATACCCAAGCTGCTATACTCCAGAATAATCTTTTGAACCATTATGAGATGATTGTGTCTTTTAAAAGTTAGGAAGTGATTCAGTCTGCTTTGTCAATGAGTGAGTGCCTGACTCTGCATGGTGGGGTTCAGATGTTGATTTCCTTATCATCATACGACTTATCAGGACTGAAATCTGTCTCTATGTAACCGCATCTGCTCTATTGTTAGCCCGAAGCCAGACTGCTATAGTCTAACAATAGATTTGGTAACGTACAAACAGATCTGCTGTTGAAATGTGCCCACTTTAACAGAAACACTGACTGCTGTTTCTTCAAGGCACATATGCTGATGTGTAAAAATACATATGCATCTCAGCCATGAAAAGGCTTTTTTTTTTTTATTCCAAAGATTGTTATCTAAATATGCTGTACAAAATGTTTAAAAGCCAGTAAAGTTCCAATAATGAAACAATGCTTTTAGGGCTTCTCTTAGACTCCATGCCTATGTTTGTCACGACTGAATAGGATCCATAGCTTTTTACCGTTTGCCCAAACAGAATGGCATTCACCTTGTGAGGCATGCTCAGCTACCCAGGAAATTAATAAAAGCCTGTTAAACACAAGGCTGCAGAGAATACTGAAGGTCACGCTTTAACTTGAAAGTTAAAGTGCAGAAGTTTTACCAGGTTTCCAGGAGTATTCATTGATTTTTACATGACATAACCTGCTATGGGAATAAAAAGGCTCCCAGGCCTGTGCAACTTAAAAAACAATTCTCGCCATCCTGCTCCATACTTTACAAAGAATATACACTTAAATTTACATTTGCATGTTAAAATGCATTTTCAATCCTGACTAATTTACATGATGGAAATTTAAACACATGTGAATTGGACCTTAAAAACAGGCTGGTAATCAACATGAACATCCAGAGTTAATCAAGTATTTCTTAGCCTCATGGCAAGACACAGGCGTCAGGGAGATGATGTTTCTAAGTTGCATTTCTCTGAAAATTTCAAAATGAGAATTTGATATGTACATCGGTTTGTTTGGCCTGTGCGCTTGGACTTCTTGGATTGCATTCATCACCTACAGGAAATCAAGAAAAAGGGGGTTTCATTGAAAATTTAAATCTTTTTTTTTTCCTTTTTTTGAATTAAAAGTCATAAAGTGAGGTAAATAACTGCTGGGATTTATCAAAAGAAATGTTCATTATTTGGTAAATCATTCTTAATTGTTTGTAATTAACATAGTTATAATGGAAAAAATCGATCTGCCCATTCATTACATTGAAGTTCATGCACTTCCTCAGATCAGCCTTTCGACAACAAAAGAATCCTCCCTCTCCATTTTCTTCTACCGTTATTTTGCTGAGAGTGAAAGGATCATCCTGGTGTTATCAAGCTTGCCTTATTCACAATCTTGAGCTGTCCCTTCCTATTAATTCATTCTCACTATTCAGCTTTTCCCTCCTTGTTGATGTGTTTATCACCTCGTGTTTCCCTAATGGCTCCAAAGTGTATCCAAATCTCAAGAGTTGTCAGTTCAGATCTGCATGCCTCCCCGTCACTGTTTGCACTCGGGCTCTCAGTCCTACGTGGTTACATTTGTGCAGGTTTCAGAAGCACGCTCAGGGTTAGCTGCTACAGGCATGCATCATGTACTATTCAGGGCTTTGGAGCATGCTCATATGTGTCTGTAATTAAACATACACTGCTTCTAAATTCAGATGGAGTAATTTAATTGCACTTATCAAAAATTCCACCCTCTGGGTCCGCTTACACTCATCAACATCACGGCACGGTAATGCCAGCTTCATTAATCTGACTTAATTTGTGATTTTCAAACATCCTATAAATGATCTTTTCTCAGCTTAACTCATAGATCCCCATCTTGATAGTTGTGACCGACATTTCCCATAATGCTCCAGTTTACTTGCCATTAAGAGACTGAAAATAAAAGCTGGCCATTACTTCCAAATATCAACAGGGGTGCTGACTCCTCTGGTTGCAAAAAGGACTCTGTGAAGTTCACGTAAAAATGAACTTACTGCTGATTTATGATCTCAGTAAAGGTTGTCTTGAGCTTAGGATCTCAATAGTTTAACATGATCATTATTTTATCAAATGTGGTTTCATTTATAGAAAAACAAATGATAAAGCAAGGTATACTTTGCACATTGCTGATGTCTCATTAAAAAAAAAGGGTGATGTCATCGTGAATTTTCCCATCTTCTATTTAGAGTCTATGATCTTATGGTGCTCATGAAGCTTTTCGAGGTATAGAAAAACAACCCTGCTGATGTCAGAGTGATGTTATTAGGGGTAACTTTTATTTTTATGTTTTAGCGTTAGAATTTGTAAAAAAGTCACCATTCGAGGTCAAATGAAAGATAGGTTTCATTATGGAAAACATAAGAGTCAGTTGTTTCCGGGTATTGAGCCATATGAGAGACTAAGAGTCTGAAATTGTGCTGCATCTTTAGTAAATTGAGCAATATTTTTTTAGAATCAGTTTTATGTGTGCACTCCAAATGGCTGGAAGCCAAAGCGCTGAATCATCAATTTGTTATACAGTTTGTGGCTGCACTGGATTGTTATCCATTAAGGCAACTCCTACTACAAAAACCTGCCTTTAAAAACATTTTTAACCATATTTGAATGCTAATTATCTGCGCAAAATCATGAATGCAGAGAGAAGCCTCTGCACTTTAACTGAACTCATATTTAGCATGAATGTCAGCGGGAGGGAAAAATCATTATCAGACTCTGGGTACGTTAGACCCCAAAAGTGGAAAATCTCTCTAAATGGAAAAGAACGGATTTTTGTGTGTGTGTGTGTGAAAATAAAGCTTTTATGGCCAGATCTGATGTTTCTAGAACAGGAGGAAATATCAATAACAGCAGCATGATCCTTTCTGATCAAAGACAAACAGATGCCTTTCACACAAATGTTCTGGAAAAGAGACGCAAACAATGTCACAAAAACAATGGCATACTATTAAATGACAGCTAATGCACATGCTAATATTGGCAACAGTATTTTGGCTTGATGTGTCGTGAATCCGTTTAAATACATGATTGCTTATAGAAAACAATACCTGATGCTTTAAGTCACTTTAAATTCTCTGTCTGCAGTGAGGCAATGGAAACATACATAACGATAAATGCTGCTTCAAGTTATGGTGAAACAACTCCCTTTGAAAAATAGCATTTCCCCCAGTGTGCATCATTTGGTATGTAACCAAAGGTTAATATATCAATTTCTGTAGTGTAAATCTGTAATAAGGAAAAGTCTTGCAGTTTGTGTTGTTTGGTTCTTAAATGGAGCAATCTCTTGAAAAAATAGACATCCATGCTTCATGCTTTGCATCCCCTTGTGTCCGCGCCTGCTGTTCTTGAATAGTTTCCCAAGAATACTTCGATTACATACAACCAAACTGGAGGGAAAAAGTGCTGAAATAAGATTTGGTAAAGGAGCAGCATTGGAAATGTTTGACCTTGTGTATAAAACTTATGGTCCTGTGGTTGTTGGGGTCTAGATAGATTTCCTTCTCCTCATGAGCTGGTGATTGTCTGTGAAGCTGTGAAGGCCTGGAGACACCGAGCTGATGGGCGAAGGGAAGAAGCTGTTTTTCAAGGTGCTGGGCGAGATCTCCTCGATCCTATAGGAAACCGAGTGAAAGTACTGGTTGGGGTTCAGCTGTGAGCTGAATGAGTTCTTGTGGGAAAAGGCACAGCCCAGGCCTCCCATCCCCGGACTAGGGCTGTCATGCGAGTGATAGTGCATACAGGAGCACACTGACTGCAGATCAGTCACTTCTGCGTGGTATGGCTCCCGTCGCCGCCGTGCCCGGTGCAGCGATTCATCTTGGATGTGGATGATCATGCTGTTCCGATTGCCGGCGAGTGAGGCCCGTTCCTCGGCATCCCGCCGCTCATCCTCACTATTCATAGTCAGGAAACGGAGCACCACTAGATTGAGGAAGGCCCCGATGACCGTAAGGCCCACCAGGATGTACATGAAGCTAAAGGCCACATAAAGGGGTTTCTTCTGGAGGGCCCGATTCTTTTGAAGGGCCACAAAGTCCCCAAAGCCAATAGTTGTTAATGTGATGAAGCAATAATAGTAAGACTGGAAGAAGCTCCAGTCCTCATAATGGGAGAATGCAGCGGCCCCGATGCACAACGTGCCAATGCAGGAGAAAAATCCCACCGTCACCATGTTCTCCATGGACACATCAGTGATGCGCATGCCACAGCACTTCTTGATGCGTTTCAGAAGGTACTTGACAAAAGTGTTCATCCTCTCGCCCAGGCTTTGAAACATGACAAGAGTCAAAGGGATTCCCAGGACGGCGTAAAACATGCAAAAGGCCTTTCCTGCATCGGTCCCTGGCGCCGCGTGCCCGTAGCCTGAGAAGAGAGCAGAAAGACAGCAGAAATTAGTGATGCGGAAAGACGTCAAGTCCAGGCTGGTTTTGATGCCACCAGTGCTATTGTAACTGTATACTCAAAAAGCCCCAGATCAGCTTTTGTTGACAAACATGACCAAGCAAGAAATCTTCTAAAGAGTCTGCAAGCAGTGCCAAAAGAGGTATTGAATAGGCACATGCCACAGAAATGCGTCTGCTCATTAATCTTATTTGGGCTCAAAGATTATGGCAGGAGGGACGTCCAATTAGTCTGAAGTTTCCGGCGAGGTAAAACAGTTTGGAGGAAGGATTGGAAAAGAGTCATGGGGGAGCCAGTGAAGCTTTTAGCTTAATTAGACTTTATCTTTAGACCACAAGCTGCTGACTCACACACAAACATACTATTGGAAATCAACCTGTGGGGCAAACAATAGGATTGATACACCATATTCAACTGGGTTTCTAAATGAAGTGTAATTGATTTTAAGTGCATGAATTGTAATTGAATGTTACTTCATAGATTGCAATATGAATGAAACTTGTAGAGCGTCATATTGATTATCTCTCCTCTAGCAAAGCCTTTAGCTGCAAGTATTAAACACCAAAGTCCTAGCCAAGATACACCCACCATCAGTTGGCATGTGTATCGCTTCAACAACTGACCTTCAAACAGAGACATAATATTTTTGGTGTACTGTATACATAAAAAAACATTTTTGAATTTGAATTGTGATTCTGTCTTTTCCCATATGCCCGTCCACCCACACAGGCATGTGTTTAGCTAAGGCTGAAAGCAAACTTGGCTGGATCAATCTGATTTGCAATCGAAGCATTTATATTTCCATATGCAATGTGTGTTCCTGACCTGAGGTTTCATTAGTGGACTTTAAAGAAATGCATTAAGCAAGATTTCAAATGTTGCCTTATCCTATGGCAGAGTTTAAGTGGTTGAATATTTTTTTTTCCAAACTGCACTGTCATTATTTTTGCGCGTAATATGAAAGGAGCCGAATGCACTTAAGAAATTAGAATTAAATTATCACTAAACAGCAACCTCCCATGCTATAAAAAACAGCTAGTATGGTGCTGAAAGTTGAAGTTCTTCAAACTGAGGCTAACTCCAAAAGGGAGCTAATGACAACCGATCCCTCTGGCAAAATGATTACTTTTACACCAGAAATAAACAGGTTCACAGCAAATATTCTTGGTTTCAAATGCCAATTGATAAGACCACTGCTGGTGGTAAATTTTTTAATATGTCATTCTTTAATTATTTATTCAGTTATGCTTTATCAAGCGTTGGCATGTTTTAAGCCTATTAAAGGCCTAGCCTATTTTTGCTAGCTAAAATTAGCATTGCATTTATTATTACAGTGAGTTTATGAAAACACCTTGCTAACCTAGCTGATTAGTTTGATTTATGGTTCTCAACCAATCAATAGCTCTCATTGGATGTATGTATCTTTTGGGGTTTTTTTTTAGTTTATTATTTTGGTTTTATTGTTAGCATATTCTAGCTTCAACCGCTCTTTTATGTGGCTTTTTTGGGTACAATCTAAAAAATTCCACAGCAAGTGGGTTGGCAAAGTGGAGCACTGAGCCATACAAATTAATAAATAAATAAATTAAATAATTAATAAGAAGATGAAGACCAAAATGTGAGAAAAAGCGATGTGGATACTAGCAAAACAATGCAACCGTAAATAAATCCAAACATGCAAACAAGCAGATATTTGCCAATCTGTTCCACAGCCACAAGTGCTCCTGCCTTACAACAAAAAACAAAACACAAACTTGATTACACAGGTTTAAGTTTGCTTTAAATAATCTAAAATAATATATAACCACTCAACCCAATAATATGTTATACACATCAAATTTCCCCGCTTGAGATTAAAACCAGAAATCCTGCATATTCGTCTTGTCTGATTACACTTACATGACACACTTACAGTATGTGTCATTTGACTTAAGCAGCTTGAAGCAGTGATAGATCTTCTTGATGATACAATAAAAGTAATAGCAATCGACGCGAGGATTAGTATCCACATCAGCTTTGTCGGTGTCTGCGACAAAAGAGCAATTACAGATCATATCTGGTGCCAAGCACTGGCATTAAAGAGGCTGTCTAATTTTTCACAGAGACGTCTGAGATCTGCTGCTTGTTCATTAATGAGAGAGTAAACTAAAGTTGGGGGGAAATCAAACCCTTTTCCCATAACTAAACAAAATAATATATACATTAATCTTGATTTTTCAATTCGCCCCGAGCCTGATTCAACTCCGATAATCAAACTCATACAGTGCAAAAGTGTTGGCTCCCCACACAATATGCAGCAGGATGTACTATAATGTTGCAGCACAACAACAGACCACACCTAAACATAACCTTACTGCAGAGAGCCCAGACCAGCCATGCTTCTTCTTTCAAAATAAAGTACTGCTTACAATAAATTTCACTTTAAGAATGTGTGTTACTGACTATTGTGAAACTCACAGGAAACAGACAACAGCCTCTCACTTTATGACAGCTTAAATTGTTTTAACAGGTCAAATCGATTTAATCCCCCTCCCAACTTAAATGGCATTAATGATGAAACGGAAATGGGGGCAGTATTGTTAGTTAAATAAAAGTCCAGTATTTCGAATTTCCGTCTTTAAAAGGATTTGAGCTTCCTGAGTAAAATCTAGAAGCAGGAAACCTGGGTAAAAACACTGAGCGTAGGTGTTTGTTTTGCATTGCAGCACAGCTTATTTGAAAATTCTTTCCGTGAAGTTGGAAGAGTGTGCATAAAGTGTTGCTGCAAATGAGCCGACTGAATCTGTTGAACAATGAGCAGTGATTACTTTAAATATGGACTACAAAAAGATACGTTTAAAAAAAGGAAAATAAATTTTACTGCAGACTTATTTCGACACAGGTATAGTATTAATGCAAATATATATCATGCAGATCTGCAACTGCTTAATCATGCGATTATTATATACATATATACATATACATATACATATATTATTTACTAATTATTGCAGGAGAAAAAATATTTTTCAGGGTTAATGTCATGTGGAAAATATAGCAAAAACATGCCTGTGGCATCTCAAAAGTCTTAGGCAACTCTAATTACATCTCAGGACAGATTTGTATACCCAGCCATCTGTCTTTTTCCAATCTTGCTCAAAATTAGCAAATTAATTGATATTGATTCTTATTGCTTAAATTTGTTCTCAGCGAGTAATTAGGACGTAATGAATTACAGCAGCAGCTGTGAAGAAGTGACAGCTTTCATTTGATTACAACTCGACAGAGTATGTATATTACCACAAATGTCGTCCACAGATGATCCTTCAGCATTATGGGCTGCACTCGAAGACATTATGCCAACTAAAAACTACTTCTGTTCAGTCATTTGAGCTTCCTGTCACAGGCTTGTTGAAGTGTGATAGGTATTGGTTCAACTTCTGCCAACAAGGCTCGTGTGGATTCTCCTTTTTTTATTATTTAAATCTGGACAGATAAGCACCTAAATGTCAGTCTGATGGTGAAAGCAATGTACTATTAAAAACGTGGACCTGTTAGTGATAAGACTAATGATATTAAAAGGGGAAAAAAAGCAAAAAGCAATAAAATCATATCCACAGTGATGTCCTGTCAGTCGGAGCTCTCGTTGCTCCAGCATTCATTAGTGTCCTTGCATTTCCAAGGCAATAAACAGAAGCTTAACAGGGCTTTACAGGGATTCAGAGAGATGACCTACAGACCTACAGAGTGGATATTAACTTGTAAAAGTAATCATCTCTGACATTTATTGTATCAAATAATATCCACTTGGGTGCCGTCTATCTTGGACTGATAAGACGATGCATCCAGGAAAGCTTATCGTTTTTCTAGTTTGTCCCTGCTGCGTAACTCCTGACACACACGAAAACCATTTCCAAGCTCGAAAAAAAAAAAGTTGTGAAATGTCGGATAAATTATCCAACTGTCTTAAAGTATTTCTTTGATGTTGCTGATGGGCTGTGTGGAGTCCGTGACAGCATTGCACTGTGTAATCTGTTTGTCCTGTTATAATGACTCTATTATCTCTCGTTGTCTTGGGAACAGACATATTTGCTCTGCCACGCTGAGCCTGTGCCATGTACAGGTGCTTTGTGCTCATGTGTGCACAGGTGAATGCATGTGTTTGTGCGCAGCACAGCAGAAAGAGAATCGTACTTTAATGAATGATAAAAGCATAGGACAGGAGCCCGGTCACGCTAATATTAAACATTAAGACGTGTTATGAAAAAGGAGGGTTGTGTTTCTGCAGGACTTCTCAAGGGGAGGAAGACGAGACTGGAGCTGCAGCAGGCGGGATTTGTTTGTAAAACACACCGGCCTTATCAGCCTGGAGCACAAAGTGACTCTGAAACGTAGACGAACTCACAATCCATTCAGTGAGATGCTGCATATTTGCAAAATGTTGATTTGATATGACTCATTAAAATATCTGTGAGAAATTATCTCCTAGACAGGAATCCGTTAAAACGTTTTAAAAATTCAGGGTTGCAATAACCTATGTAGCAGCTGATTGCATTGCTTTAGTAACAGGAGCACACTTTCTATTTTAAAGCATTTCCATAAACAGGGTACACGAGGAACATCTGCTAACATGTAAAAAGAAGAACAAAGAAGCTCAGTATTCTGTGTGTGATCTTAGCGTCTCTCCTAGAATATTTCAGTATGAACACGTTTTCTGTATCACTGCACATCTGTTGACTCAGTCTTGAAATGTTTGAACAAACCGTAGTGGGAAGTTTGATAACACGACGACACAAAAGTGCCTCCTGAAAGTCGCGTCAGTGTCGTCTGGAGTGGGAGGAGGTAAAAGCTGCAGATCAGTGCGTTTTCATGTTACATCCTTTTTCTACAACCAAGCCACGATGAAATTAGTCTGCGAATCACCAGCCATGCTACTGTCTCTGTGAGCCTTTGCTGTCAGGGTGCTGATGTTCAGCAGGTGT